TAACGACGGCGTTAACGTAACGATTTCAATATCGACACTGAAAATAATCAGCCTGCAGATCATGCATTGCTTTTCATGTTAGGCTTGATCGTAGGTCTACGGTTCATGCATCATCCACTTCCAGAGGCGGTATCAGGGGAGTAAGTCGAGAAAGAATCATCTGAATAATACTTCCCATAATCAGTATGTTACACGGAATAAAGAGCAAGGGGTTGATGAATGCTGTGCACATTTCCAACTAAGTAAATTATAAAATACTTACTTGACAGCCACGATTAGAAGGATAATACCAATTACGAAGAATTGAGTGTCATCTGCTAAATACCAACTCCAAATGACGCACTGTTCAACAAGGGACGCCAAAAAATAATGTTATCTTATTTTTAGTATGATATAAAAAACATAAAAATGTAGGTAGGCATAATTCTCGTGAATGTTTGAAATTATGATTAAACACGAGCATATTGATCTTTGTTGGTAAGGATGATCCTTTTACTGAGACACTCGTTTGATAAACATTCGAAACCGTCAAAATGAACGCAACTAGAGAGTTGACACCACTTTTGGCTGGAGTTCATACGAATTTGGCAGTCTTCGGAGAGAGATGTACGTACATGAACCATGTTTCGGAGTTACGAGAACACTAGGCGTATCCGTAGACTCTAGTTTTCATTATGCTTAAAACCGTAGACGAAAAAATAAACTAATGATAAATCCAAAAGCTCAATTGGTGCATCACGCAGATAGTTTGCATGAAACTTCTCTCCCCTAAGAAATCCTAGTAAAAGTTTCGAAAAGGGATGGAATTTTCGAACCTTGAAGAGATCTAATTTTCGAGAATTCTGGGCCTAAATTAACTTCTTAAATCTGCAACTCGTATCGAGCACTTATAGTTAGAAAGTTTACACTTAGCCCTTTATTTGAAAGAAGAGCGCAGATAAGATAAAAATTCCTTACTCTTTCTTTGACTGGATAAAACGTGTTTACATAAAAGATGTTTCGCCACCAATATTTAGGACAGTTGACATGGTCCAAGGATGGAAACTCCAAAACTGCATGATCGCGGAAATGCTTCATCTGTAGCTCGACAATCCAAATCATCACAAGATATGGAGGCGTAAGTCTGAGAGGTACGAGAAATAAAAAATACAAGTTGAAAGCTGATACCAGAGGGATGGTTTCTAAAAATGAAATGACACTTAGTCACAATGTCTTCGCTTCTTACAGATTCTCTCAAAATTTCAAATGACGATCGATGCATTCTTTTTATCATTCAGGCACTCATCATACTTTAATGACAGGAATAAGACAAATCCATTATTGATCATTTAAGAATATCAATACAAAAATTGCTATTGTTGTGAAAAAGTCATTTTTAAGAAAAAAAGATACAAGTTCTTTGCAATTTTTTGAGACTGTCATTATTCCCGATGAGTACTTAAGGGTTTATACGCGATTTCACTTAAAACTAGGAGGATAATTAGGCAATTTTTCATGCTTATAAATTAAAAATTATATGTCTTTTGGTGTATTAGTATTTCCATAAAAAACTTATGAAAAATATTTCCATCTTCGCATGTGGCAACATACAAAGGCTGGCCCAAAAGGACTGCCCCTTTTTCCCCACATGGCAAAAGGAAAAATTATATTAAAATGCGGTTTGTGTGGGGTTATAGTCCTAATAATTACTTATGAAAAAGGTCAACATGAGCTCTGTAACTTAAAATTGAGTGAGGTGCAGCATTTTGAAAATAATAAGTTGATTCCTGTCAACTTATGGAACTGTCCTCCAGGAGTTGCAGCATATTTTACTGGAGGGGAAAATTTTTACGAATAAAACGGTGTTAATAAAAATAAGTTTACATATTCTTACCGAAATTGCGGCAAAATGTACTCTTCTTTATCAGGAGACTTGGTTTTTCTTCCGTTCCTAAGTATCTTCCTTCACTTTGTGCGCACCAATGTAATGCCCAACACCATGCAACCATGCACCATGCAATGCTTTGTACGCAACTTTTTCGCATTTTTTTCAGATTTTTTTTTCTTCTAAACAATGCTGGCAATCGTGGAATGGTGATGGTCAATTTTTACCAAAGACGTCATCTTCATTCAAATTTTAAGTTGCAGAGCTCATTTTGGTCTTGTTTTATAGGTAATAACTAGGACTATAGCCCCAACGAAGCCGCGTTTTTTTATCTGCTATATTTCGCCTCGTGGGAAAAAAGGGGCAGTACCTACTTTTGAGACAGCCTTTTTATTTTTACCGAAAAGTATCTTCCTCATCATTATTTCGAAACGGTGTACAGAGCTAGGGTCCCCAAGGTTGCTTCTTTTGATAGTCTAACATAAATAAGTTTGTGAAAGCTCTCACCTGATGAACCTGTAAAGAAGCATCGTGATGAACTGTACAAGCTGCCCTTGAAGCTCTTGATCCATATTTGTCATTTCCTTCATGGTGAATTTGGCGCAAGTGCGGAAATAAAGGAACGAGACAAGAGATCCACTACGGGAAATGACATTGGAAAATGAGCGGTAGCATATCTTGAAAAAATTGGGATTTTATTACATGAATTTGACTACATTTTCTGATGAGGAACTATACCATTTTTGTCTCATTTTGGAAATAACGTGTGTGCTACGACGTGTTACTCTATACAGATAGGTGTTTTTATAGAAGAGCTATAAAAATTAATTAATTCTCGCAAGATGAGGTCCAATCGGCAGTTACAGTCCATCCAGATAAATAAAAGTGCGATTAAATAGAGCTATACTGGATTGGGTGGTTGTAAATAAAACTCGAATAATTGCCAGCGGTACCTTAATGGAATCAAATGAGATAAGGTCAGGCAAAAGGGACCTATAGATGGAAAAAGTATACCGGGTGATCCAGACCACCCGTCCACTAACTTTATCCAGAGAACTGGCTTGAAAATTTAACTGAATGTTCTGTAGAGTAAAACTATTGCTTTTTTTTCTTTTTTTGTCCCCCAAGCAAATCGAAAACTAAAAATCGATACCTATATTTAATTCCAAATTAGTATTTCCACTTTTTTTGACAATCTGAAAGTCGACGTCTTATACTTATTTGCTTTAAACCAGAGATCCACCACTTTTTTCGGAGTTGCATGGAAAAAATGTCAAATAAATCGATTTACAGGACATGCAAATTGAAATTTGTCTAATTGTTACTTCACAGTAGATTATTGCTGGTTTAAGTAATGATACTAAAATTGAGTGCTTTTGAAAAGGATTCATGCAGTCGTTTAGGTAGACGTAAGGGGAAAAAACCCGAATACAAAGATTACAAATTATTACTGTTATTAGTTAGAGAAATTAAGCAGACCTGATGAAGAAAAAAGTGTCCACGGAGTAGGTGCCACTGCTAACAGTTTGATATAGAAAGTTATCCTCAACTTTCGAACGAAATGATTTATTATCTGCAACCATGGGGAAAATCTGTTAAAGCTGTTTCCGACTCGAATTAAAAAAAAGAAGAAACAAGTTGGATTTTGCAATCGCTAGCGATAGCAATATTCGTCATGGGAACGTTAGCTTTTGGGATATGAAAATGTTAAGGTACAGTTCGTTTGTAGTATCTTCTGAATTGAAGGGGCTATGTAATTTTGTGTTGACATCTCTTTTTTAACATTTTTAATTATTTTCTTTGCATACAAGAAAGCTGTTATGTACCAATTATTTATTTTCGTTGGATTATATATGGTTTTCAGAAGTTAACGCATTTAAGTTTCAGGTTCGCTTTTTCGGCGTAAAGTATACTTAAGGTGTCCCAAAAGCACCGGGACTTGTTCTGTAACTTCGAAAGTAAGATAGATACAGACATGATCTTGATTTCATTTTAAAGATCAACTCAATACCTATCGATTAAAACCAAGATCAGCTCAATCGGATAAAAATTGACCGAGTTATGGCAATTTGAAATCAGCGAGGAAAGTTTACGCCTACGGTTTTTAAGGAAGATTCTTCATCGCCGTAAATCGAAAAGTCGGCCGATAAAGTGATGCCTCTTGTGTTTTTTTTATTTTCGAGGTGTCATTTATCAACATTTTGTACCATCAAACACAACAGTTGACAGTGCGTATTATTGCAAAGTACTAAAGGAGTTGAGAATGCACATTTCCCGGAAACGGTCGGACTTGAAAGCTTCGTGGATACTCCATCAAGACAATGCGCGGCCTCACGCATCGAGCTTAACACGTGAATTTATGAGTAAAAATGGAATTGAAACAATCCCTCATCCCCCTTATAGCGCTGACTTGGCTCCATGTGATTTTTGGAT